AATCTTATGCCCGGATCCTTCCTTAATCCACAACCAGTCTAAAGGCAGACTTTTTATAAAAGTAAATACAAGTTTAAGAGAGAGAAATCTACTTATGCTACACAAAACACACCCTCACATTCCACAATCAAAAATAAACATTGAATTTCAAATTAAAAGCTGACAAAAGGCAGCAGACCTTTTGAAAATAATCAAGTAATGAGAGAAAATAAAAATTAGATTTTTTTATTTTACAATATATGGTAACAAAAACAAAACAAAAGCAAATGTTTTATGGCACTTTATAGTCTGACAGATTTATTGCAGCGTGAGATTCATGAATTATAATCCACTTCCTCAGGCACCTGTGGCTAAATAATGTATATTTCACCCCATGAATCTGAAGAAATGTATTTGTGATGTCCTTCTGCCCCCATTTCCCCGAATGTGACATCTCAATGCAAAGATGAAACTGCCATGTCTACATTTTCTAATAAAACATATTTATTGTTTAACACAGTTTCATGAGATTTTTAGCAATAACATCTTTGATTTTACAGGAACAGTGCCATATTTGTCTTATTTAAACAACAATAACTTCTCCTTAGTGAAGGGTGATGAATTCAAAACCGCTTTATAACTGTCAAACTCAGACAACAAGTCCCCCGGAGGTGTTGCCTTTTGCTTCAGGGTGAGGGATGGAAGATCCAGCCCACCTGTGGTTCCCAAACCTTCTTGCCCAGTGTAGGTCTCAAATTGGGACGAAATGGACTGGCCCCACGGGGTCTCCCACCTCTCTCTATAGTCTGCTTGGGTTTTTTTTTTTTCACTGAGCCTCCCTCTATATCCATGCTTTATATCTCTTTCTCTCTTCCGTCTCACCCCAGTAGGGTGGCTTCCTATATATCTGCATTTTCCACTCCTTCTCTGGATACTCTCGAGGAACTCTAAGTTCCACCCATTCCTCTGTCCAGAGGTCTTCTTAAACCAAATCTAGTAAATCCTCCTTTTCCTCTCCCTTCTCCATCCAGCATGCTTCCTTTCCTCCATCCTCCTCCAACTGCTCCCCTTCCCTTCCTCCTCCTTCCTTTTTCTCCTCTTTTCCTGCCAAAATGGTGCCCCCTATCGTTTCTGTCCCTATGTCTAGCCCTTGTAAGTCTTTCATTATGTCTGCCAGCTGTCCCACAGCACAGTTCTCACACCACCTCTGAGGTTGGTCTCAGCCTCACAGTACTGTAACCCAGAGGTCCCCATCAAGGTCATTTTGAATTTTGTTTCTGTCTTCTAGGGCAGGGGTCCCCAACCCCCAGTCTGTGGCCCAGTGCCAGTCCGTGGCCTGAGTCGGACTGGGCTGCCGAGACAGACCTCCCACCCCCCTGCATTCACTTGCCCCTGCACAGCCCGTTTGCACCTGCATGTGCGCTCCAGCACACCGATGTAAGCGACGTGCCGCCGTTTGGCATGCGCACAAGCACGCACACTTGTTCACACATGCGCACGAGCACGGGGGGTGCCCCGCCTTCCCCAGGAGGTCCGCAGACTGAAAAAGGTTGGGGACCACTGTTGTAACCCATTAAATCTCACACTGGTAGAATTTTCTGCAAACATTCATGTACTGTATTATTATCCAATAGTTTTTTGCTTCTCTACATATCCACCACATATAAAGTTCCCTCTTGTAATTTATATTCCCAGCATACACCTGATATACCTTTATACACTTTTGATAACTTATCTGGTGTCATGTACCATCTGATATACCTTTATACACTTTTAATAACTTATCTGGTGTCATATACCATCTGTAGAACATTTTGTACCATATATGTTTTCTTTAAAACTTACTGATTTTGTAATTTTTATATTAATTTTCCATATTTTTCCTAGTCATAAATTTCAATATTATGCCCTATATTTTACTCCCATTTCATCATATGATCTTTTACCACTTCCATCTTAATTTCTAATAACACTTCATACATTTTTTAAATCAATTTATCATCTGTTTCTAATAGTATTTTATCCAGGAGTATTTGCTCTACATAAAAACCCTCCTTTTTATCTTTTACTTATCTAGATTCCAATTGTATTCTAGCCCACCAATCTATATATATGTCTTGGTTTTTTGTCTTTTGTTTTTAATTCGCAATTTCCTTTTAGTACTAATTCTTTGTATCTGAGTAATCTGTTTACGGACGTAAGGTTGGGTTCTGTAAAAGCTTCTAATGGAGATATCCACTCTGGTATCTTTCGGTAGCAAAGAAGCAAAGAAAATCCCAGTTAAAATAGTGTGAACTGAATGATCTATCCTGAAGCCAGTTCCTCATAATCTTAGCTTAATTCCTAATTAAGGGAGAAAAATGACAGAAGCCAGAATTTCACAGAAATTGATATAAAAACGGTTTTTTTTTAAGTGTAGGGAAATTCTACTCCTTCCTCTTATTCTTCCATCATCAGATAAAGAACTTCTTTCCTGCAGGCTTTTAAGCAATAAGTGGGAAAGCTATATTTATTACATTTAGAGAATTTTAAACTGCTTTTTAAAACATTTTCAAAATCATCTATAATCTTCGTTTCAATATTGACAATCTTTGGGTTCCTCTAAGGGGAAAAACATTTTAGTTTTTTTTTAAATATAGTTTTTAATGGTACTTTTAAAAACATGAGCATTATACTGTTTTAATTGTTGTGAGTCACCTTGGGTCCCCTATCAGGAGAAAAATGGCATACAGGTAATTAATTAATTAACAGTACAATCCTAAATCAACAATGTGCTAGCCATAAGGAAGTTTGAATGGGAAAAGCCTTTTAGGCCAGCACAATTACTCTGCACTCCTGGCTGACTGCAAAGACCTGCTGTGTTTGGCTTGGAGCAGATGGCACAAAAGCAAAACAAGGAATCGAGGAGTGGTGGAGTGAAGAAGCAGCTGAAGTCTATCCAGACCTAAACCCTCATCAGCCCACAAACACAACCACCATGCCTGCATAAAGCTCGGCCAATGCCAAGATAGCCTTAAGTAATTTCTAGGCTGGGGGTGGGGTGGGGAGGGGTGGGAATTTGGATTCAACACAGCTTCACCTCGTTTTCAGCCATAATGGCTAATGAGGATTGCATTTCTACAGTAATTGGATTGCTTATTATATGGTACTTCAAGGGTAGTGGGATACTCCTTCATAGGAGGCTTTTAAACCAGAGGCCAAATTACCCTCTTGCAGGGATGCTTTAGCTATATATTTTGTGCTTTGGCCAGGAGACAGATTTGATAACTCTTTATGGTCCTTTTCCAGCTCTTGAGATCTATAATTATAATTGTGATAAGGGCATGCAGTTCTTCATTGTCTTCAGTGTGCTGCATTAGCATGAGGGAAAAATAAACCAAAGAAGTTGAGCAATGAGAAAGATCATTTCTCATAAATATGCTTAGTACTCATGTCAAAAGCCCAACTACAGAGTTCTGGGAAACAAAATCAGAGTTTACTGCTTTAAAGGGGCCAAATCCCCACTGTTCCTCAACAGTTACAACTAGGACTACAGGTATGTTTTAGATACTAAAGCCGAATGCCATTTTTTTACATTTTCCAAACCATGCACTTTGCATGCAGTTTTGTCGTTCCAGATTAAGAATGGCGTGAATACATACACGTATGATTATTGGGCACCCAGCAGGTTGCAAACAATTTCAACAGGGACAGGGGAGAGAGAAGTAATTGCCTAGAAGAAGTTCTTTGAAATCACCTAGCTGGTTTCAGTAGTGAATGCATTCAGTAGAAACATGCATCTATCAGATTAAGAGAAAGGAAAAATTGTGGTGAGTGACTGCAAAGTGAGGAAGTGGTAAAAACGATTTTCCGCTACCAAGATGGGAAGATTTACTGTAAGGACACATCTCAAATCAGGTAGAAGATGTGTTGCAACACAATATTGGCTAAAGAAGGGTCCCCTCCCACCAAGAACAGATCTTTGCGATGATAAAGGAGCCTACATAATATTGATCAAAGGTCTAGTTTCCACATGGGGTTGCAAGTAAGGATTTGCACGAGTGGATGTTTCTCCATAAAAATTAAACCTCTGCACCAACAGTGCTACTGCCCAGGGCAAAAAACAAATCTAGCAGTGGGCGCAGCCAGGAGCAATGTGGATATTAATGCATGTACAACTTCTATGGCATAAACATGTACAAAGGCAGGCAAACACAAGTGTAAAGGTAATCTGTCTCTGATAAGCAGGCAGCTAGAGGAAGGATGATTGGGGGTACCATGTACCTCATTATGGGGCAGCCACCCACTTGTCCTAATGGACAAGCTACCACTGCCCTCCACCTAGAAATCTGTGTATTTCAATCCCATCAGTCAGAAACATAGGCAAGCCCATGAGTCAAGCAAGATGTTTATTCAACCTGAAATTCTGGAGTGATACCTTGCTTGGATCATGAGCAGTCATGATCTCAAGGGATTGAAGTTTACATGCAGTTCTATCACTTCAGGGAAGAACATACGGTGGAAGTTTACATACAGTTCTATCCAGGGCCGGACTGGGAACAAAAATTGGCCCTGGCATTTACTGCCTCGCCGCCCCCGTAGATGTTAAGACAGTTGCATGTAACCCTCTGTACAAAAAGGTGGCAGGCTTGAAGGGACCACAGTTTTTCTGCTAAAAAACAAAATACCACACTGAAAAAAGCAGTTGCATAAGGAAACTGTGATTTTGACACTGGGCAAAGTAAAACACAGCAGCCTTTCACTTGAAATACGGCCCATAGAACCTTTCTACGTCAAATAATATTTGAATGTATTGAATCTAAATTATTCTTGAACTATTTGAGCATCTTGAATTATTTGAATGTAACCAAATAACTATTTATTTCATCATTGTTTTCACAGCTGTCCTTTTGCTTCCAGAGGTGACGACCCACGTTCAACCGTTTCCTAAGAGGCAGAAATCAATTTAATGTTGAGCTTCACCTATGGCGTTTCTGCCTGCTCCACGGCGGATCGCAGGGTGGCTAATGCAACAAACTCACCTGCCTGGATTAGGCACGCTTCATCCTGTCGACGAGACGCCGCCGGGAACGAGTAGTTTGAACCTAAACGAGAGAAGAGTTTCCCAGCCCATCAGCCTTTTCCTGGAACGCGAAAGGTCCCGATTCCTGACTTCACCCGTGTTGGGGTCGACTCCTCATCGGGATGACGAATGCATGCTCAGAGGCACTCTTTTCTCTTCACCAATCCCCAGTCATTCAGTATAATATGAGCCTTTATCCTGTCAGCGTTGATAGGAACAGACTCTCACACACAGAGAGAGGGGAGGGGGAGCGCACGTATACACACAACCAGCTAGTGTGGCTAATGCCTTATTGAGGCGAGGAAGGCAGGCGAAAGAGCACTTCGTGCGGCTCTTGATCCGCCGCCACCCAGCCCAAGTCTTTTCGTCTCTTCTCTCGACCGTTCAGAGCAAAAGCGAGGCTGGGTTGTTTATTTGCCTGAGGGGAAAAAGGCGCCCGTGCATACCCGGCCACTCCCAGAGGCGGCCTCGGGCGGGGCATCGTTAGGATCTGGTCGCCGGGCGAAACCGGTCCGCCGCCCCGATGGGTGCGTGCTGAGAGGAACCGAAACTTCGCCCTGTCAGGACCACCACCACCACCACCTCTTCTTCCCCAATCTGGTCGCCGGGCAAAACCGGTCCGTCGCCCCGATGGGTGCCTGCTGAGAGGAACCGAAACCTCGCCCTGTCAGGACCACCACCACCGCCACCACCACCTCTTCTTCCCCAGAAGCCTTTAGAGACGGTCGGCTATTATTGACTGTTGCCTCTCCCCCCCCCCTTTTTAGCATTTATTCCCATACACAGATATTGAGGCGTGGTAAATAAAATGTCGGACCAGGTCGTGAGAGAGCTGGGTTCAAGCCCTTGCTCTGTCATGGAAGTGAGAGGCGGAGGGTTGGGGTGTAATAAGCCGCTTTTGAATCTCTCTTCTGCCTTGAAAACCCCATGAGGCAGAGGCGACTTGAACATCAGAGAACACCCCTGGAAAGGAAAAGCGAGAGGGGCTGGTAGAAGTGCGTCGTGCCTCGGCTAGGAGAGTGTAGCCTTCGACGCGCCCCTAGTTTGATGCCAAAAGTGTGGGTCGAAGTTGGGGCTCCCGCCCGGAGCCCGTCCTTTGATTTTGCACCCCTCTCAGGAGTCGCCCCTGTGGCAATTATTTTCATATCTGCCGAGACGAGTCATAATCATGCGAAGTACTCGCAGTGGTAGGAGAAGCGAGGGACCTCGAATGCACACTTGTTTTTATTTGCATCTTATATTCTCTTATACTGTACTGTCAAATATTTAGGCGACCTGCCCTTTGTGACTTGCCTATACGGAAAAGTCGGGCAAAAATACATTAAATAAGCCTCTTTTGTTGCTTACTTCTAAAGCAAACTAGCTTACCGAAAAGGGTAGAAGGAGAAAAGAAGTAAATATCCTCCCACTTCTTTTGATATTGATGTTCTGTAAAGGTATGGTTATAAATCACTTGCTGAATTCAAGCAGTTCTGATTTGTTGACTTAAAGCTTGGGGTGTTGAAGCACCCAGTTGGATTATCTCTGTACCACTTCCTGGTTCATAATGGTACGGTTAGCTCTTACTCATCTTTTATGGTGATATCTAAAGAAGTAAATATCCTCCCACTTCTTTTGATATTGATGTTCTGTAAAGGTATGGTTATAAATCACTTGCTGAATTCAAGCAGTTCTGATTTGTTGACTTAAAGCTTGGGGTGTTGAAGCACCCAGTTGGATTATCTCTGTACCACTTCCTGGTTCATAATGGTACGGTTAGCTCTTACTCATCTTTTATGGTGATATCTTTCAGCCCTCCTGTCTTGTCTTGTTCAGCCCTCCTGTCTTACACAGAAGACGAAAACAATGTTTTCTCATCATGTCCCACCCCATTGTTTATGTTTTTGCCCTGCCAATTTCTCTGTCAAGTTTCTTGGCTCTTGGGTCCCTCCCCCACCATGTCTACTGTCCCTTTCATTCCACCATTTTCCCACTCTGTCTCTTTTTAAGAGCAACGACCATGTAGATGTAGATATAGAGATACACACACACACACACACACACACACACATATACACACGAGAGAGAGGGAGAGAGAGAGAGAGAGAGAGGGAGAGAGAGAGAGGGTAGACTATAGATCCACCATTTTCCCACTCTGTCTCTTTTTAAGAGCAACGACCATGTAGATGTAGATATAGAGATACACACACACACACACACACACACACACATATACACACGAGAGAGAGAGAGAGAGAGAGAGAGAGAGAGAGAGAGAGAGAGAGATTCTACAATAAGTTTAGCATTAAGTTCATTTATTTGTATCTAAACCTGGAACTCTTGTCACTTTCATTTGATTCTGCTGTTTGGCAAATGTGTTTCCACATCCCGAGTAAAAATAAACACCATAAGGTTGTTTCGACAGTGTTTGGGGATTGGAGAGCAAATGTGTTTTGCTGTACACTAGCAGAAGCAGTGCTCTAGCAACAAGAGTAAAGAGTGTGGCCCTAAACCACTTTGTTGTTTGCTGCCTAGTGCTAACTTCATTGTAAATATTTTTTAAAAACCCAAAAATTTAAAAGATGTATTCCTATTTGGACTTCAGGCAATAAGCTTGGTGGGAGGCAAGAGTGCTCAGACACTCCCACATCTTGTGTCATTGAAGACCACATAACTTACATGCCCATTATAGGCCTCCTGACAATTCAGTCAGTGCAAAATAGCTCTACACTCTGCTGTCCTTCCGAAACAAAACAATACACACAGCAGACTGAACAAAAAAGAACCAAAATATTGCAGAAAAAAATTACCTGTTATCAGTATAAGCAAAACATCATCCCAATATCAGAGAAAATAGCAATATGATGCATGCAAGATGTGGAGCTTTAAGTAGGACAAAGCTCATTCTGGGCAAGACTGCACTGGCATCGCATTAGAGAATGAGGTGATGCGTGAGGACTCATCCAGACTAGTGTCTACCCTGCTTTGAACTGTAAGCTACAGGTCCCATGGGCATTGCTTTGCAACTTTCTCTGACAGCAGTAGAGTTGCTCTTTCCAGTCCTGCCTGCTTGCTAAGGCCTGTTCAAATGCTAAAGGCACCACTAATTTTCAATAGCAGGATCCCAAAAGCTGGATTGTTGTATAGACAAAAGATGAGCACGATCCGTAGAGGCATAGCCAACATTTTTATTTGAGAGTAATGTGACTACCATGAGTTAGACATGTGCAGTCCCTGACTTTAGATTGGTAATTTTAGTTAACTTGTCATTTTAACTGTGGAATTTCCTTAGATGTCAGAAGAATTTGACCACCATGGTTTGGGATTTTATTAGATGTCAGAAGAATTTGACCACCATGGGTCACCCCATTCAGAAATACTGTGTACATGACAACAATTGTGCCACAGTTTTTCTATTCCATCAGCCCCCCCAGGTCACATGACTCATGTGACAGGATGCAAAAAAGGAAGCTTGATAGAGCAAAGTAACTATGCATCTAATTGGGTTTTTTTAAAGCAATGTGGTTCCTCAGTAGGATTCTTACCTGTGTACTTTAACTGAAGGGCAACAGGATTTACTGTTCCACTTCAAGGACCAAAACATCTCAGGTTGGCTCTGACAGAAAGATGTAGAAAGTCAATGACCGGAGCCCATGGAACAGATCTGTGGTAGAAATTGGCTCAAGTCTGAAAGTTTGAAGATAGCACTATGACAGCACTTTTTAAATACTTGAAAGATAGTCATACAGAGGAGAGGTAGCGTCTGTTCTTAATCATCCCAGAGTACAGGACATGTAATAATGGGCTCAAGCTATAGGAAGCCAGATTTAGGCTGACTATCAGGAAAAACTGTTAGAGCAGTATGACAATGGAACCCATTACCTTGGGAGGTGGTGAGTGCTCCAACACTGGAGGCATTCAAAAGAAATTTAGACAACTACCTGGCAGATCTGCTTTGATTTGGAATTCTGCATTGAGCAAGAGGTTTGTCTCGATGGACTTACCGATCCCTTCAAACCCAATTATTCTATGATTTTTAGATGCAAAAACTGCATTCACACAGCTACACTCCACATATTAAGGGATAATGCTTATATACAATGTTCTCCTAAGGAGGGGGAAAGAGTTATTTCATCTCAGAAAATTAATTGGGACAAGGAAGTACCTGCAGTTAGTCATAGGGAGAATTAAGATGCTTGCAGGGCACAAAAGATTCACCCCTGACTGCTAGAAATCTTATTCATCAATTCCTTTGTTTTCTGAGATTAATGAACTCTTTTTCCATACACATCTTCTCCCTTCCCATATGGCAGACTTGGAGTTACAGCAGCAGGGGAGAAGTGCAGATGAGAGAGAAGGGATGCATTAAGGTGGCTAGGAAAAGCTGTGTGTCCACACATTCAGTGTATGATTTCAACATCTAATCCATCCATGAAATCACAATTCAAAAATTAAGAACATACTAAATACCCGGTGTTGTGTAGTGGATAGAGGGACAGACCAGAACTCTGGAGACCAGGGTTCAAAGCCCTGCTTAGCCATGGAAAGTCACTGAAGGTTTGAAACTGGCAAAGCCACTCCTTAAATATCTCAGTTACCTTAAAAGCCCATTTAGGGGTCACCACGTCATTTCCAACTTGGCAACACATAACGGCAAGAACAAGAACAAAAAGAGAACTAGGGTGGTGTTATGGATAGAATGTCAGACTACGGCTCAGGCGACATGGGTTCAGATCTCCCTGCTCAGCCATGTAAACCTATGGAGAAGGCAATAGTAAGCAATTCCTTTAACATTTCATACACTTGAAAAACTCTATTAGTGTTGCCATACACCAAAAGACACCTGACAGAAATAAGGAAGAGAAGAGAGATACAGTATATTAATACATGGGAAGGAGCTAATAAAAATGGTATACTTTAAGTCATTCTAAGATTTATGGTGAATAACTCGTAAGGCAATTTTAGCAAGGCAAAACAATCTGTTCCAGACAGCACATAACAACCTTCAGACAAAAGAAGAAGAAAGAAAGACAGAAAAGAAAAGAAACGGAAAGAAAAGCGCTGTTTTAAGCATAAGGAGCAGGAGGCTAATGCCAAACAGAAAAGCAGGGAAAATACTGGACTGTATCAGATTAATCTTTCAGTTAAGGAAATAAAAGGACATTTCCTGTACCTGAAAAATGGAATGGAGTGATTCTCCAGTGCTGCTTCTTTTATTGATTTTGGAATATAAAGGGCTACAGTGCAG